GCCCTAGAAGGAGTCAGCGCAGAAAATGAGAACACATTACAACTGTGGGTAGAGGTGTATTCCTTGAAGGAGAAGCCTCGAGACAAAGATGAAGTAACTACATCTATTTCCCCAGGGACAAACAATAACGACTGAGATTTTAAATAGACATCAATCACCTGGGTAGGGGACCAAGACCTTGACCCATTGCTTCCAGGAAAGGTCCTTGTTATTTCCATGCACACTTGCTATGTGATTTGCTTCCTCTTTCAATCAATATTACCTAAGCAACTATACTTGTAATCTGATTGGTTGATCATAGCTTTGTCCTACCTTCCAACTACCTTGGGATGTGACTTGCTTCCTCATTGAATCAATATTACCTAAGAGACTACAGTTATAATCTTATTGGTTGCTTATAGTTTTGTCCCACCTTACAGCTACTTCACGAATTTGTACCCACCTCGTAATTTTGCTCTATAAAACTTCCTCTGAGAAGTGGGCTCATGGAAAACCCACTTCCCAGGTACCCTTCTGTCTCTCTCAGACAGAAGCTATCTTTCCCTCAATAAATATTTCCTGTTCTTAACCTCCACTGTGCATTAAAATTTATTCTTCGATTTCTGAGAACACAAACTTGGCATGTCAGGCATCTAGTAGGTTGGGAGTTATAATATTTCCCTTATATTATTTAGATTATTTCGAGGTTCTATATCATCTCTATGTCATTACCATCAAAGCTTGTTTTTAATACTGTATTCTCAAACTCAAATATCTCTCCTGGTTCTTTGCATTGTCAAAGTTCAATGTTTTCTAAACAAAATGGGTGTAGATTGTTAAAATACGAAGGCAGGATTCAAATGTCCACGAGGAGGAGAAATGGCATGAAGGGAAGATATTAAAACCTGTTGTTGGGAAGTTAGGTATGGTGGTACATGCCTGTATTCCCAAGCAAGAGGATCGCCCCAGCCTGGGCTACATAGTGAGCTCAATGCCAGCCTGACTATATAGCAACACCCTGTCTCAAAAAACAAAAACAAAAACATATTGTTGGACTGGAGGTATAGCAAAAAATATTGTTGGACTGGAGGTATAGCAGAAGTTTAGCATGGGAGAGGCCCTAGGCTTAATCCCTAGTACTAAAAATAAATAAATAAGTCCATCCTATATTTGGCTGTGAATTTCAAACCCAAAATGCAAAATTAAAAACTGATAGAACTGCCTAATATTGGTGAAAATATTAAGCAAAAGATAGTGTGAATAAAACACATATTTTATATGTGTACAATAAATTAGTATATTTTAATAATGATAAATACAAAATATATATCAAATTGATAAGACAAAAGTAAGGAATAAATATATACTATAAAGACTGAAAATCTATAACAATTTATACTGCTCATAGGCATTTTTATACAAAATTACTTATATAATAAATAAAACTTCAATGAAAACTGATAAATTATACATCATAAACTGCATAACAGTCAAGAAAATAATCAAAAATGATGTCTCTTATTCCTTGGAATTCAAAATAGGACCAGTCTTTAATTTGAAATATTCAGAGTATTAAGCCATATCCAAACACTGATCAAATAAGTGCATTAATTCTGACATTCCTTTCAGAACAGAAAATTGCAATTGCTATTCTCTTTCATGGGGGGTAAGGGGATTCTTGTTGTTTTGCAATACTAGGGATTGAACCCAGGACTTCACATATGCTGCGCAAGCACTCTACCATTAACCTATATCCATAGCCCTTTTTTAAAATTTTGAGACAGTGTCTCACTAAGTTATCAGGCTAGGTTCAAAGTTATGATCCTCCTGTCTCATTCTCCTCACTTGCTAGGCTTACAAGTGTGCACCACAATGTCTTGCTCAATTGTTGTTCTATATATAAATGAAAATGTACTTTATAAATTTATTATATTTGCTCCACACAAAAATTCCCAAATCTGGGTATGTATCCAATCACCTGGGGAACTTTTAAAGTATAAATTTTTAGAATCTATCTCCTAAAGATTCCAGTTTGAGATGTCTGGACTGGAAGACAGGAAAAATTTAAATGTATGTATGTATGTATGTATGTATAAAGTTCACATGAATCAGTATATATAAATACAAAGTTCAGGTTATTAAGGAATGTTTACTCTGATCCAGCTAGCTCTTCAGATTGGGTTCATATTTCAGGGCTTTCCAAAGTCTTACTCCACATGCAAATCACCTGCAGGTGCTACAAGGAAATAGATTCTGATTCAGTAGGTCTGAAATGGGACCTAGGAATCTGCAGTTCTAACAAGCTTCCAGGTGATGTACACACTGCTCATCCAAGGACCACAATTTAAGTAAGACATTATGAGCTGGGCATGGTGGCACAAACCTGTAATCCCAGCACTCAGGAGGCTGAGGCAGGAGGATCATCAGAAGTCTGAGGCCACCCTGGGCTACATAGTAAGTTCAAGGCCAGTCTGGACTACATAGCAAGACTCTGACTCCAAAAAAAAAAAAAAAAAAAAAAAACCTTATGGAGGGGCTGGGGATTTAGCTCAGCGGCAAAAGCGCCTGCCTGGCAAGCGCAAGGTCGTGAGTTCGGTTCCCGGTACCGGAGAAAAACCAAAACCAAAAAAAAAGACCTTATGGGATATTTGAGTGTTTCCACTAGTGAATGATACCAGACCTTCTCCTAGGCAATTTCTAGCACCGGAATATTTCCTTTAAATTTTACTTATTGTACTCCTCCTTTAGCATAGCTAGAGTACATAATTAGCAAAATATTTTATCTTATCTTTACCCTACTACCAAGTGATTGGAAATTATTTCTTCCATGTACAGAATATCACTGAACAATGAATGCTATATCAGAATGCAGATACAAAATTTACATAATTAAGTTAAGGTAAGAAGACCATAAGTTCAAGCTCAGCCTACGTAAATTTTCAACTCAGTGAGACCCTGTCTCAAAAACAATGGGGGGTGCGTAAGGATATAGCTTGGGGCAAAGGCCCTGAATTCAATGGGTTTACTCCTCAGTATTGTTAAGAAAGAAAGAAAGAAAGAAAGAAAGAAAGAAAGAAAGAAAGAAAGAAAGAAAGAAAGAAGAAAAAAGAAAAAGACAAACTCTTATAAAAAGTTATATATCAGAAAGAAAAAACATAGATAGATGGTGTTATGGTTTGTATCTAGATGTCCCCCCCAAAGCCTCATGCAGCCATGGGGCAAGCTTCTAGAGTGTATGATTGATTCATGGGTGTGGTTGCTACACCTGCCCCTGGACAGGTAGTTTGCATATAACATAAGGGAGGGAAAGAGGCTGCTTGCTGCTGCCCCTCCCTTTGTTTTCTTGTTGCTTTTGCTGTCTTCCACTGCCATGAACATTTGCCCTGTGCCATGTGCCACTCTGCCCTGGAGCCAGCCAAGTATAGACTGAAACCTCCATAAACTGTGAGCTAAATAAACCTTTCCTCTCTTAATGTTGGGTATTACATATTTTGTCTCAGCAATGAGAGAATAGTAACCAAAACAGATGGATAGACAAACACACTAAAATGTTTAAAATACTATACTTGACATGGAGGTATAGCTCAATGGTAGAGCACTGAGTTAATGTGTGAGACCTTGATTTCAATCCCCAGCTCTTTAGGGGGATGCAGAAAATGGAGAAGAAAAGGGGAGGAGGAAAAGAGGGGAGGAAGAATGCAGGGAGAGAGATAATAGAATCCAGGCAGCATCTAGAATAAGTTCTGACCTATATGAATGGCAAACTACAAGCAAACTCAGAATAGGTAGAGTCATTGTATTTTATACATGCATACCCACAGTGACAGAGACCAGTAAAATTTGAACAATAAAAATCTGTACTAGCAATTTGCTTTATCTTAATTTTAAGCATTTCATGTGAACACTGACCATATCTCATAAGATGACTGAGGTCGCAAAGGTTCTTATATTACAGTAGTTGCCTGTAAATATTCTCATTATAATCCTTTCTATGATGCTCTATCTCCACTTAGTCCTTCATTAATTAAAAGTACTGCATATACATCATCAAAGTGTAAATAAGGACCAAAATGGGTGATAGATATGGGAAATAGGAAGAAAATGTTCAAAAGGGAAGGGGAGAAAAGGAAAAGGAAAAAAGACAGAATGGAAGGAAAAAAATAGAAACAATGCTTTTGTAAATGGGGAGGGGAGGAGGAGCTGAAGAGTGGGGAAGGGAACGGGGAAAAGATATATTAGATATATAAGATATATTATGTACAGGTACAAATTCACTATGATGAATGTGATCAATATGTATGACAAATATGTGCTAATAAAAAATAAGTATTAAAGAAAGAAAAAAAAATCTCATCAAACCAAATATCTAAGTATCTTAGTCATTCTCCCGTTGCTTTCTTTTCTCCTTCTTTAAACACATTCCTGCTGACTAATGTCAGTAGATTGTGGTAATTATTTCACATTAAAGTACACTCAAAGGCATGGAGAACATGTATCAGTAGAGTTCCTAAAGAATCAAGGAAACTTTTCCTATTCTGAATAACACCACATGATCTTCCCAAATTTTGTTGTAAGAAAAAAAAAACCAGTTAGATATCACACCGACTATATCCCTAGGTACTCTCAAGTATTTAATATAAAAATCAACCAGTGAGACATACAGTTTTAAAACGTATTCAAAATGAGATGTTAACAAGAATTTTGGCAATTTTCTGAGGCTAACAGATCAAGAGAATTTTTCAAAAGAAAGCCACCATTGGTTTATCACTTTCAAAACACAAGAGAGGGGTTGGAGATATAGTTAGCGCTTGTGGAAAGCCCTGCGTAAATCACTGGCACTACCAAAAAAAAAAAAAAAAAACCAACACAAAAAACACGTAAGGGAAAGACCACAACTTCTGGAAAGTAGGAGATTAAACCTTTCATTTTTAAAAAATTCAAAATACATTTTAATCCTGGATCACTCAGAAGGCCAGGTCCCCTAAAATTGGGATTTACTAAAACCAAGATTATATACTCACCTGCAGCTCACACCAAGCAACCTCAACCCACGTTTCAGTGTCCAGCCCTTTATATACTGTTTTAAACGCTCCTCTTCCCAGTTCTATGTCAAATTTCAGGAACCTGCCACTAGGAGAAGTCGCTACAGCTTTCATTTCTGCTTCTTCTTCCATTTCCTTTTCATTTTTCTCCTTGAAGCAATCTTTTGAGGTTTCCAAAGTTGCCTTTGAACACCGCTCATGTTTACTTTCTTGTCCACCTCTCAATATACTTGTAGGGAGTTTATCTACTCTTGGAATATTTGTTGCAGCCTTTACTCTTTCATCTTTGGAGGAAGATTCCGCAACTTTGTCATCTTCTGTCATCTCAATGCTCTTTCGGAAAAATCTCTTCCTTTCTACCATTTCCCCAGAAGCAGTGAAGGTGCCATTTTTTCCCTTTAATCTAACATCCACTGTCGAAGTTGAAGCAATCTGGGGAACTCTGTTTTCAAAGGAAACTCCATCAGGTTTCTCAGAGTCTTCAGTGCTAGCTGGCTCCCCTGGATCCGTGGCCATTGTTACTAAAGTTGGCACTAAAATTTTTCCTGTTCCACTCCTCAGTCCAATTACATCTCAGGTATCAGAATTATCAGAACAGACTTGCGTTTATGTGGTCATATGTTTCCATAGCAACCTAAAAGGGGGAAAGGATATTTAAAATTTACCTCACAAAGGAAATCATTAAGGAGAAAATAAGTCACCTGATTTTTAATCCTTTTTTTTCTTAATAAGTTTATTCTTTTTTCTATCCAATCTTAGCAACCAGTAGACTCCAGGGATTGTGTCTTATCTTGTTTACCACTGTAGCCTACAGTGCGCAGCAGACCATTCAATCTATAGCTCAATAATAAATCTTCACATTATGTGAATATTGGTTAGGACTTCAGTTTTAAAAGTGCCCACACTCTAAGTTCACTTGGCTAGCAGCTAATACGCACAGTAAATAAAACAACTATGTGATTTATAGGTGGTTTTGGTCTAAGATTCAGAACTCATCCAATAGTGGTATCTTTTTTATTGTAGTAAAAATATATGTAACATCATGAGCCAGGCATGGCAGCACTCAGAAGGCTGAGGGAGGAGGATCATGACTTTGAAACCAGCCTGAGCCACATAGAATGAGCGTGTGTGTGTATTTTACCATTTTAACCATTTTTAACTATAAAAGTCAGTAGAATTAATACATTCAGTGTTGTGCAATCATCACTTCTATCCATTCCCAGAACTTGTTCAGCATCCCAAACTAAAACTATGCCCCATTAAAGAAAAATTCCCCATCTAGTCTGTAGACCCAGATGCTTGAGGAGCTAAGGCAGGAGGAACACTTATGCCCAGGGGTTCAAGGCCAGGCTGGGTGACACAATGAGACTTTTTTCCTAAAATAAAGAAAAGTACTTCTAAGGGGTTAAATGTGTAGCTCAGTGGTATAGCACATGCTTAGCATACATGAGACACTGTGTTCAATCCCCAGCACCACAAAAAAATTCCCTATCCACACCTACCCATGGAAACCTCTATTCTATTATCACTCTGACTTTGCTTATTCTTGGTAATTCATGTATGTTTGTTTTTTTTTGTTTTTTGTTTTTTTTGTTTGTTTGTCTTTTTGAGACATGGTCCCGCTACGCAGTTTAGGCTGGCCTCTAGCTCACTTTGTAGCCCAGGCTGGTCTCAAATTCACAATGATCCTCCTGCCTCAGTCTCCCAAGCGCTAGAATTACAGGCATGTGCCATCACGCCTGGCATGCTAATTTCATGTAAATGGAAGCACAGGACATTTATCATTTTGTGTCTGGTTTATTTGTTTTGACACAATGTTTTCAAGATTCATCTCTGCTGTAGCATGTTATCAGGATTTAATTCCTTTTTAAAGTTTGACAATATTCCGTATTATATACCATATTTTATTTATCTATTCATTTATCAATGGAATGGGTTGTTCCCACCTTTTGACTAATGCTGCTATGAACATTCAATAGCAGCCTTAAATAATGCAAATACTTGTTTATAGGCTACCCTTCATATTTTTAACAGAAACAACTATCAAATATTAATATACTATACTAAATAGCAAGAAAAGGCCAGGCATACTGGTGCACGCCTATAATCCCAGAACTCAAGAAGCTATAGCAAAAGGACAGCATGCACAACTCAGTGAGACCCTATTATCAAAATAAAGTTTAAGACACTGGGCATGGTGGCACAGGCCTGTAACCCCGGCACTAGAGCGACTAAGGTAGTAGGATCGCCATGAGTTCAAGGCCAGCCTGGGCTATATGAGCGAGTTCAAGGCCAGCCTGCACTATGTAGCGAGACCCTGTCTCAAATCTCTGCCTAAAAAAATAATAATTTTAAAAATTACATTTAAATAAAGGACTGGGAACTTAGCTAAGTTGTAGAGTGCTTGCCTAGCATGCACCAGGTCCTCAGTTCAATCCAAATACTAGGGCTGGGGATATAGCTCAGTGGTACAGCGCCTGCCTGGCCGGCATGAGGTCCTGAGTTCAATTCTTGGTAGAAAAAAAAGTCCCAAGTACTAATAAAAACAAAACACTAAGAATCTGTGCTAAAATTTAACAAAAAGATGTTCATTTTAACAGTTAAAATTTGGAAAAAAATTATACCTAAACATTAAGTCTAATATGGGTTTAAGTAAATGTCTCTAAGTATGATATAGCATTAAAATAACTCAAAAGGCCTATCTCCCTGTGAAGGGCCTGCATTAGACTTCTTTGAGTGTGTATTTTTAAAATGCTGCCTAATAAATCCCTTTATGTCTCTTACTTAGGCCTCCCGAAAATTCTTTTTCTGTGATAGAAGTCGGTGAACCTAAAGCATGCCCCATAGGTCAAGATTTAACATTTCTTTTGGCAAGTCAGTGGCAGGAGACAAATGAGGCATTGAGACTATGACTCTGGAATACAACTTCTAAAAGACAACCTCGACAGTATGTGAAGATGGTAGGCCATCAACTATAGAACAGATAGGACACTTGACTTCTAATACTAATGCTGATCATAATTAATGAAAGAAGTCACTCAGGTCACATCTTATATTTCAAAGTGCCCTGATATCCAGATAGGACAATGATAGCTAAGATTAAGAACAAATGCTCCCATTTCAAGACTGACCTTCTGGGTGTTCAACAAGTGAGGCTTGGTGACCAAAGCTAAAGAAGATAACTGACCTATGCTGGGGATATAGCTCAGCAGCACAAGTGCCTGCCTGGCAAGCATAAGGTCCTCCTGAGTTCAATTCCTGGTACCAAAAAAAGAGAAAAAGACAATAAAAGACCTAAGCCAATATTTTGGCCCTTGTCCTCCAAGATCAGTCAGGACCCATGGCATGACAAGACCCATGTGGAAAATGTCCTGCAACTCTGGTGAGTCACCTGAATTCCTAAGCAGGGTGCTGTTTAGACCCAGAAGACAGAAATCAACCAAAGTATATTCTGCAAAAGGAGGGTCACTAAAGAGGGAAATGTTCCCCATGCTTCCAACGGAGGCCATGTGGTTAGGCAAGACTGGGACCCATCCTGTCAGAGGACACAAGTGGTACAGGAAAAAACTACACGAACTAAGAGGCTTCTCATATGGCCCCAAAAGTAACTCCTGAGGAGCCTTAACTATCTTGACAAAGATACATACATAAACTTTGATTTATGATCTTACTTTGACTTGGTCTTAAACACCTAGCAGAAAAGTGTAATTGAAAAGGGAGTAATTAATAGCAATATTTAAAAAAGAAAGCTAAGCTAAATATAAAAAAAGGCTCCAAAGCTAGGAGTGGTGGTGCATGCCTCCTGAGCACCACTCAGGAGGCTGAGGCAGGAGGATCACAAGTTCGAGGCCAGCCTGGGCTACATAGTGAGTTCAAGGCAGTGACCCTATCTCAAAAAAACAAAATGTGGGTGGGCGGACTCCAAACATTACACTAGTCTCTACTGGCAGTTTGTAGCTGTATCTATAACATCTTAATCTACAGCTATAAGACGTCATGATCCTAGTTCCAGCAGCCCTTCCAAAAATGTTCCCTTCAGCCTCACTTAGTGTATTGTCTTTATGTTATTTTGATGTACATTAAAGTATCCCTCATGAAAAAATCTGGCCTCTTATATAGGTCTCCCTATAGGATAAAAATGTCAATATAAATGTTCTAGCTATTATTATTACTTCTGTGGTATAAATTAATTTTCTGTTATCTACTTCAGGCCTTTTATGTTTATGTTATCTAGAGCCAGTTACTAGAAGGATCTTTGGATCTTCAAAGTAGAGACCAAACCCTAGGTTCTAAACCCTACCATAAGGTTTTAATGGCTTAAATATATTTATTTAGTTTATTTCTTGGTTATTGCTATAAGTAAAATAAAAATTAGCCAGGCATAGTGGTACACTCTGTAATCCCAGCACTCAGGAGGTTCAGGCAGAAAGATAGCCACAGGTTCAAGGCCAGCTTGGGCTACACAGTGAGTTCAAGGGAAGCCTGAACAATGTAGTGAGACCTCGTCTCAAAAACAAACAAAAAGACCAGCCTACAGAGTGAGACCTTGTCACAAAGGGAGGGATTGAAAGAATTTTACATTTCTCACTAACAAAATAGGAAGGATTCTATAATACTCTTATACTTCATCTACTGTACTTTAGTAAACATCTCAAGGCAAATAGAGGGGAGGGAGGAGAAACAAGAAATGAAAAGCAGTAAATGTGTTATGTGCATGTAACAACTCCACACAATGAATGTGATCATTTTGTACTGCAAACATGTACTAATAAAAATTTGAAAAAAGAAAAACAGGCAGGCTAATATAAAAGTTAATTCACCATTATTCTACTTTTAAATTTGGGGCCTTGCTTGTTTAACATACTTGCAACATTTGTATCTTCCAGACTTCTACAGCTCCTACTCCAGCTGATGCTCACCTGTGCTATTATTAAAACACTATTGTTTATATTTCCAACAACTCTAGAAATTGTCTTCTGCATTACAAAACACAATTCACAAATTACATGTCAGATACTCCCTTAAGTCTCAATGACATGCTGATAACAAACCTTATGTCACCTTTAAATCAGTCAGATTAAGAATTTTGATCTCAGGCAACACATTCGGGACCCCTCCTGTCTCAAGAGCTATTCCTGTTCCCCATTCCTTTTCTCCAATAAATTTTTCTACTCTTTTTTTTAAAAAAAGAATCAACTGATACACAGGGCCTGAAGACCTCCTTGATTCACATGACAAAGAAAGCAGCAATGTGAGTATATAACTGACTACTCAAATTGTTGCAAAACTGTCACCCAACCAAATGGAACAATCCAATGTGAGAAGTAAGTCTGAAAATATAGTGAGGGTCTTGGCAGGGGTGAAACATATTGGACAGAATGCCAGCACTGCCATTCAAAGTTGGAAACTGTAACAGATGAAATGCTGCAAGATGCTATGAAATACACAGAAGCTGAAATACAAGTAAAATGTTCTCTATGTACCAATAGCCTTATTCAAAAATGTATTTATTATGACACCTCACTAGCTGAAATGGAAACATTCATAGGTCTGATAAACTTAGCAGGGATTTCTCATGGTAAGTGCAAGAATGTAAAAGATTTATAGAAAAGCAACAGGTCAAAATATGGCATA